TTTACAGGCTGTAAATTAAAGAGTATACAGTGTAAAAATAATGCTGATTTAAGTCTAAAAAGTATCAAATGACAGCTAAATACTGGTTTTAAAACATACTTGAATTTTTACTATTTCAATGTATTATAATGAAATTGTGAAATTACTTTACAGGCTGTAAATTAAAGAGTATACAGTGTAAAAATAATGCTGTTAATTATTCTCACAGTAATACTGTAGCTTGGGCCCAACAAAAAACAAATGATTTAAGTTTATCATTCTATCTAGGCTGGAAAAGTGATTAGAAAGGGAGGCTTTTTATTTTTATTTTTTATTTTGCTAAAGCCAAATATCACCATTGACTTGTTTGCTGGTGCATTGATATTCTAAGTAAAATACATCATTGAGATAACAGGAGCAATAATAGGTCAATGTAGGTCTGGAAAAAAGTTTGTGCCTATAACCATGAAAAATATTATCTGTACATATATAACCCAACAGTTTATTTTGTTAAATTTTTCTCCCCCAAAATTTCCCAGAACATGCAGTATGCCTCCGACAGCTGTTCATGCACTTTTTCCAGCGCTGCATGTGGGCAAGGATGATAAACTAATCATTTTTTTCATTGAGCCTTTATGTCAAGAAGTAAACTTACATTGCTTTGATCATCCATATGATATCCATTAACGGAGAGAATCAGGTCCCCTTGTTTTAACTTATCATAGGCTGGCGATCCTCGGTTTACTGAGTGTACAAGTAAGTAATTCTAAGAAACACAAAACTCTTCATTAAGCACAAAAACATAAATCAAACTAGATTACCTATTAGTACAGACATCCACAAGTGCTATCAAATTTAATGTGAAAAACATGTACAGTATGATGCATATTATATGGGTATTATGATGTCTTATCACATTTGTACTACAAATTTAAAACCAGGACAGACACCATCAGAATATTCTGTAGAGCTCTGTCTAGATTATCAAATTTTCTTCGAAAAAACACTGTTTTATGCCCATATATAGTCATATGGTGCCTATATATGGTCTTGATGTGATGTCATCATGACCATATTTAGGCATGTCACATGTTTTCGTCAAATAAAATTTGAGTATGGACAGGGCTTTACATTCAAAAAAGTCTGATCAAATAAATTATTATCCAGATTATCAAAAACATTACTGTATGCCCATATATAGTTATGATGTGCCTATATATGGCCATGATGTGATATGATGTCATATTTAGGTATGTCACATGTTTTTTTCAAATTAAATTTGATAGTTTGGACAGGGCAAAATAATCTGTTAATGGGTATCTGGTAGGGTTAAATGCCGAAATGTGCTGATGCAGCTGCTGCAATGTTATGGGATACTCTCCCAGGGAGCCAGAGTTTGTGTTCCATGCGCTTTTAATCCAATGACCGCATTAATTATAATGTGAAGCACATAGAGGGCTTAACAATTTTCGCTATATAAGTCTACCATATTATTCTTATTATTATTCTTTCAGGTCATCTAAAAACATTAAACTCTCTTTCTTCCTCAAGGCCACTTTCTTTGTATTCTTTCTTCAATTATATCTCTCAATAAACCTATCCTCTAAGTATAGTTCCTTTAATATAACACACCAAAACCTACCTTAACCTTTACAAATTGAAACCCAACTTTGCCACTTTCACTTTTCCTTACTACCACAGTCTTCGTTGGTAAGGACCACTGAACAGCATGTGGGTTATTGATCACCATTTCATATTCCAGGGATTTCCTCTCTGCAGGTGTACATGATGGCAGGAAATTTGAAGATATCACATTTCTGTTGTCAAGGAGTCGAGGAATATCATTCCCTGTCCCGAACGAATCATTGGATTCAAGACTATCATTCCATATGGATCCATCCGATGCCATATTCAACGAGAGTGAACTCACTGACATCTCAGCACTATTTTCTGACTGGCAGCCAAGCAGTGAATGAAGTTCAAAGTTGGGCCAACTGCCCTCAGCCATGGCTTTCTCTAGTCAAGTTCAAACTGGTGTTGATTTGGTGTCAACCCTGCAAGTTAAAAAAATTACTATTCAAGATAAGTGCAATCAGAAGACAACAAAGATGATTAAAACACTTCAGAATTTCCTGGTAAAAATGGCTTCCACTTTAGAGCAAGTAGAATACTTGAAATTTGTTTAATCTTCATCCAATTATCAAATTCTTGTAAAGATGGCTGAGCAGGTCAACCTATTTGGAAATTAAATCTTGTCAA